AAATATTCTATTAGTCACTCTCCTGTCTATTGGTATATATGAATACTGTCATGCCACTCTCCTGTCTATTGGTATATATGTATGTACCTATAAGCCTAAGGGCTTTTGGTTAATACAGAATGAATGAATACAATGAATGGCTAGAGAAAATATTGTTCCGGATTATAAAGGAACACTAACACAAATTTGACATAAAGAGATAATAGGGTTAAACAAATGATCGTTTCGGCTTAGAAGGAGATGCAAACTTCTGCCTTCTTTTATAAAATGCTCGCTGGCTCGTTATAGCGATACAATGTTGCTTTGATCATTGTCGCTTACCGAGTAGATTTTTAACTTTGTGTGTCCATGAATGTTATTGTTATACACAGAGCAGACCATCGGCATATGTTGGTGGTAGCTGAAGTGAGAGAAATCCATTTGGATAGAAGACATTGACATGTTAATAAATTAACACAGGTAAATACCAGTTGCGGTTTGCTACTATAACTGACTAATCACCGATGAACTCTAATCGGCGATCAACTCTAATAGGCGATCAACTATAATCACCGATCAACTCTAATAGGTGATAAACTCTAACATGTGATCAACTATAATAGGCGATCAATTTGATATGCGATCAACTCTAATAGGTGATCAACTCTAATAGGTGATCAAATGTAATAGGTGATGAATTATAATGGGCGATCAACTCTAATAGGTGATCAACTATAAAAGGCGATCACCTCTAATAGGTGATCAACTCTAATAGTTGATCAAATATAATAGTTGATCAACTATAATAGGTGATCAAATACAATAGGCGATCAATTCTAATAGACGATCAACTCTAATAGGCCATCAACTCTAATAAGATATCAACTTTAATAGGCGATCAAGTCCATTAAACTCACTAAGTACGCTAGGGATCGAACCGAAATTCTTTGGAGAGCGAGTGGTCTGAATGTCACGCTTGATTGCACACAGAAGTACAATGACTGTGCGCTTTAGCGATCACGGCTACCGAGGCACACCAAATTGACCACAAAAAGTATTTCAAAGGTGGACAATGAATGTAACTCGTTTATTTCATATGAAACAAACCAGTACTCCTCTATTTTTTGTCAAGTTCAAAAATTAAGGATTTAACACACCTGTCCCTCTGAGTTAATATAAAAATAAGATTTCTAACCTTGTGGCCCCTATAGCATCACCAATGATTCTGAGAAGAACTAAACAGCTGTAGGGGGCAGTGTAATTGGTTTTTGGTATACTGTTTTTATTACTAAATTGTAAAGGTGCAATCAGCTGTATGTGTGCTACTTTCATCTTCGAAGAGTTTTTTTTTGAAAGACCGAATCATCCTTGTATAGACATGAAAAACATAAAAGACATTGTCATTTTGAAAGAATTTTTTTTTATATATAAAGGAAAGTTACAAACACCAGTTAGCAAATAAATTGAAAATTATTCCGTCAGCAGATCTGAAGGTTGTAACAGACCTAATCTATAGACAAGTCATCACTGGTCGGGTTTAGGCACGACAGGGAAATGGAATTGAATTATCTGCTAATTAAACTTAACATCCTATCAATAGACGTTTAAGGTACCGTACGTTACGTCAATGAGTTGAAACAGTTATGCATTGGAATTGACTAGTTGGTTATCACAGTATGACGTCACTGTCCCCATGGAAACCGTGTTCTTTGAAAAGTTAAGTGCTGTGTTAACGTTAATTGAAGGGATAGATCATTTTCAGCTTTCAATGTGTTCTTATTTACTTTTCGAAAACTATTCGATAGACTTGCCGTCGAGTTAAATATTGTATCGCAGAGACCGGTGGAGGGACCGGAACAAGTTGTGCGGTGAAAAATTTGTTTGTTTTGGATTTAAGGTCCTCGCAACAGCAAGGGTCAAGGGTCATACGAGGTCATACGAGTTCATACGAGGCACTGGGGAGACACCAACTGAAACAGAAAGTAGATAGAAAAGAAAAAAAGACAGGAAAGACAGAAAACGAAAGTGTTGCAATGGGGCCAGCTTCCAGGTCCCCTCTTTGTAGAAGACACGAAAGAAAAACCCCGATTCTGCACGGGGAGGGGCCCACATAAATCGCCTCGTATGATCATGCAGGGGGATATCGCAGGCCTATTCCTTCTTCGAACCTTCACAGGTTTGAAAAGAGAAACAGACAGAGGAAGTGGGAAGTGAGACGGACGGAGGGGAGATGGTTGAAAGGAATGATTGGCGGAAAGGATGGAGGTGAAAGGAGCGGTATTGGAGGCTAACTAAAAAATGAAAGGAGCTTGTGCGTAGGGACAGGATCATCTTCGAAATTTCAGGAATTACGCTCACATAAGGAGGGATGGGACGAGGAAGGAATGGAGAGAGAATGATGGAGGTGGGGG